GAGAGAGAGAGAGAGAGAGAGAGAGAGAGAGAGAGAGAGAGAGAGAGCACTCTTTGGCTCATTTCCTCACGCTCTCACCAGAAGGTTATCTGTAACACTAGGTCCTTTCAGCCCAGTAGGGGAGGGGATAATTGGCCAGTGGCAGCAGGGAGGTGAGGTATTTCAGGCTGCCTCGATTCCAAATCCAACACCGAGGCACAACTCCATCAAATCCCCCCTGCGCACTGTCGGGGAGGCCAGGTGGAGGAGAACAGAGAGGGATGAGCGCTAAGGAAAGGATGGAGGCAGAGCCCACCGTGAAATGGAGACTTAGGACACAGAGATATGGAGACGGACGGGGGGGGGGGACAGAAAGGGAAAGTTTATTTTTGGAAACGGGGAAGTTGCACACAGGGAAACCATGTTGTCAGACTGACTCGTATACGTACAACCCTCTTTCATAATGCTAAATAACCACATACGTCTGAGTTAGTGTTTTTAAAGTGTCAATTAAAAACGTTTGTCTATAAAACTGTAATGACTCAAGGGTTTGTTCAGCACACGTTAGCTCTAAGATACAACATTTAAAGCATTGCTCTCCATTGTATTCCATCCATACCTGAACATGCTGAGGGTCAAACCGTGTCCTACCACCTTTAAATTAACCGTGACTCTGCTGACTCATGTCCATCCAACAACCACGAAGCTCTATTAGTGACATCAATAGGAAGAGCTCACAACAAAGGATCAAAAGCCAAAACTACTCAAATCATCACTCTTTAAAGGCATCACACTAAAAGAATATACATAACATTATCTAATATCCTTATTATAATAATTATCTGAATGAACCTGTAGTAGATGACTGAGATCCGTGCTTATGAATGTTGTCGCTGACATTTTCGCAATACAGAGTTTGTAACTTTGGCGTCATCCTCCTCGGTACATGTGGTATGCAACAGCATTTTAATGTTAAATACTTTTTATTTTACTTTTAATTCTCTCAGGATAAATTACAGAGTGATTCAGCCCTCTGGTGTGAATCTCTGGCATACATTAATATTGACCAGTTTCCATTTATTCATTTCTTGCCCCTGCATTGAGTTTTTCATTCTCTTATCACTCTCCATCTCTCTCTCCATCTCCCCCCCGAGGCGAGCCGGGTGGAAACAGAAGGGATTATACACTCTGTAAAGTGAAAGGAACAGGTTGAGATAATGAAAAGTAAGAACGCTGTGAAAGTTTGTCATAAAATCGGGTGAAATATGGGAGAATTATGAAACCGGGAGAGTAAAAAGAAAAAAAGAAAACCGTGAAAGTTAACGACAAATTAGACATTTGTTTGTTTGACAGCAATTATAAAAGCAATTCTTGAGATTGACGGCTCCTTGAACTGTCAGCATTGGAAATAATGAGATTCCAGTGAGTGTGCAGTGAATGTGCCAGCGGGCAGAAGTGTCCCCGGTCCAGAAGGACTTTGCCGTCACCGGTCTGCCCTCGACTGGATGAACCTCGAGTCACTTAACCAGTGAGGGTTAAAGTTACACCAACGTCCCCACAATCACCAACATCCTACATTAGACATGTCTGATGTTAACGGCTGTTGTTTGAATGGAGGCTTAAATATGGTCCGATAGAGAAGTTGAGAAACACTGTAAGATGCTTGCTCCGAATTTATTTAGCATTTAATGTAACTTACACTCATTATAGCCTAGCTTGAGGAGGCTGTATGCAAACTGTTTAGGGTCTGATGACTGGATCCTTCACTGTAACGACCTTAAAGTTGACAGGATGTGACGCAGCGCTGACAGAACTGGATCATCTTCACGTCATAACTGTAGAATTCATCACAACGCCATTGATTCCTTTAACTGTAACGTGGTTATTTAGCTCCCTCACATTGATGTTTGCTCGAGTGGTGAAAACGGTGATTTTGATGCAATCGAGAGTGCAGCGATCCACCGCCAGGCGATTCGCCTTCGGGCCGCGCCGCCTCTCTCCGACACCTCAAGCCGAGCGGTGATGAATTCGTCCATAGTGTGCTAAAGCGTGTAACAAGAGGAAGCCGGCCCATTACAGAAAGGTGTAACACAGGTTCCCGTCTGAGGAACTCCTCAGTCCACGTCTTTCTCAAGGTCAATTTAACGGTGCACCCAAGCACTCTTTTTTTCCTCACTTTTTTAGGAAACCCACTAACAGAGAGAATGGATTTACACAGGGGGTCTGCTGGTTAGATTCAGGCTGAGATACTGGACTTTCCCTCTGCTCATGAATGATGGCAATGATCGCAAGGTTATTGGATGCACTTTTACACACTTAAAAGAACTGTACAACTCTGGATGTTTCCATTCTTTCAGTGGTGGCAGTGGCACCGCAGTATAAAGCCAAACTGTTAAAAGAATCCCTAAGAAGCCACTCTTCCACCGTTGTCTAAAGTGTTAAAGGTTTGATCTGCTCCGCCATTCACTGCCATCTTGCCGCCATCGCAAAGACATTTGGTAAACATAGAGGACATCTCAATCTGTGCCTTCTGGGAGGACTCAATCGGCCTTTTCATCAGCTGCTCTGATTCACTCCACACAGGAGGCAAGAATCTGCCACTTGCAACAGTCTGACAGCGAGTTGGAGATAAGAGGCCACTTTTGTTCAAAATCACAGCAGATGCATATTTTTATTCACAGTTTACCAAGAAATTAACTTGTGTTGTCAAGATCTTCTGTTGCGGTAAAGCTTCAGTACGTCTTCAAGTTTATTGTATTTAAAGATTAAATCACATAAAAACATCACCAATCCTCCGAACCTAGAGAGGTTTGGTTGGAGTTGAGTTGATCAGAACTAACTAGCTCTGGTGGTGAGCAGCATCCCTCCTCTGCTTACCAACGACCAGACACAACAGACTCAAACAAAGCCAGTGACTCATTCATGTCAAAAACCCACCATCAGTACCTCCGACTATCAAGATGATGCTTTCCACTTATGGATGATAAGGGGAACTTCTTCCATAAGAAAAGGTGTTCTGGAAACTCGGGCTTGTTTTCTCACTCTGTGCCACTGAAAGGTCACTAACATTGCACCCCCCCCCCCGCCCCCCACCCCCCCCACCTGCCCAAAGTCTCCCAATCACGGTGGGCTCTGC